TGTCTGGTACATAGGAAACAGTGAACTATTCGTCTAGGTGGAACAATAAAGGAAAGGGGAGAGGAGAAAAAGGAGACAAATTCCCCAAACTCTTCTGATCATCATTAGCCACTTGGATTAATTTATAAGTGTTGAAACATAGATTCTTTCTAAGACTGTTATAAAAGTTGTGTGCGTTTGTGTATTTTTTTTTAAATTAATACTAAAATACATACAATAGGCTATGGTAAACATGTCAATTAATGGTATTAATACATTTAAAAAAAGCAAAAAAGCTTTTTAGAGGTCTGTACCCTAATAGGAATAGGTACAGGCATGAATGGGAACAGAATGAGCTTATTAAACATCCCAACCCAGTGCTACACTGTGAATCACTGTATTCTGGTCTCATGAGATTTGGGCTGTTGAAGTCATTAAGTGTTTATTTCAACAGACATATTTTTAATTAGCCAAATAAATACATTTCATCAATATGTTATTAACATCTCTGAAGAGCCGCTAGAATGGCATTCTCTACACCAGTACAGACGGTTATAGTTTAAGTACTCTGAGGAAAGAGTCGATTCATCGTTATGTCGTCAGTAGCTTAAATCACAGCACATGGTCAAAGCCATGTTAGTTAATATTGCTTTGGAGCCAGATTTGTTTAGTGTAAGTGAAAGCAAAGGATAATTCTTTTTTTTCTTTTTTTTTTTTTTGCTATGATTTTAGTTTTGGGAGTGTGGATGCTGGTGGGGTAAGGAGGGAGAAATTTCAGAGGAGGAAAAGGGAGTTCAGAAAGATCTACAGATAGTGGAGGAAGCAGAAGGCATGCAGTGGGAGACAGGGAATTGGAAATGGAAGATGTGGACTGGGTATGTTTTGATTTGATGTTGAGCACTTCTCATTGTTTTCATTGATTTTTGAGGCTCCCCCCACCCATGGCTGTGACTGAGTCCATTGTCTTGGAGGCTACTTCCAAAAGTACTAATTGAAATAGGCTTCCATTGATTTTGTGACGTACGATAGCTTCACCATTCCAGATATGCTCTTAAATACGTCAATTTATGGATATCAAAGGTGCCCCTATGGGGTCAATGAAATTTTAAATCATATTTAGTGACCTGAACTCAGGTTGAGGAAGCTCATACCTCGCCGAAACACAGTTTTTATATGTACAGCCAGCTGGCTAATCGGCAAGGGCTCTTTCTGAAAGACTGGTGCCCATTCTGTATTCGAGGAATCCTTCCCTGAACTGCTAGCCAGGGTGGAGGTCTCCTCCCAAAAGAAAAGTCTCTTGAGCTCTACCTACTAGAGTATTTGAAGAAGTAGCCCAACATCCCAAGCCAGGAAAGAGGAAAAAGCCAGGCAATCGTAAGAACTTCTGCAGAAATATTTTCTTTAGCTCTTTTTCCTAATCCGTCCTTATCATTATGTCTCAGAAAGCCATAGAGACTGACAGGACATGGAGATTCCAACTGCCTAGTGGAGGTCAGGGGTCACTGGGAGAACTGGTCTTTGCCCAGCAGTGTACCTGTGTGTACCCCAGGCAGGGTGCTCAGTGGGCATCTGGAGCGATCTGCTCATGTGTTCGCTGGATGTGGCCAGCACATAACTTGAAAGCAATAGTCTGTGGTCATGGCGCATTCTGCCATGTTCTCCAGAAAGGCAACTTCACCTTTTCTTCCCTGGTAGGAACATTCCATTTATTCTTGCGGCTAATCAAAGCATCCTTTCTCCACGATGCTGCCTTTTCTCAGTGGAGGGCAACTGCGTAAGAGATTGGGTGTTCAGAATGGACCAATGCTGGGCTCCAATATTTTAACGTGTAAACATGTAGATGAGACATTAATGGGTCCAAAGGCGTCATTGAAGAGGAGCAGTGCGGTGATTTCCTCTCCACCCGCCATCTGTCTTTCCCATCCCCAGCAAACGAAACCAGCAAACAAGTCAAAACTAAAACCTAGAACCTTTGCATTCAGCAACTCTCCAAGGTGAAAACATCCATGATTTCTCCCCTGCCTTTAAATATCTTCAGTTACATGTGCAAGAATGTCATTAATATGTCTCTTGGCTAGTCTCTCTCCTTAGCAGTTCTCTCGTTATTTGTCTCAATAAACAACACTTCTGCCACCTCTCAGAATTTCAGGTCTAGTTGAAGCGGAAAATTAGAATATCAACACACTGCTCAAAAACGACATGACTTCTCTGCTTTGTTCCCTCAGATAACCAAATGGAATAATGACAATAAACATGTTCTAGATGTTTCTCTGTGCCAAACGCCTTCAGAAGTATTCACTCTTCTAATCCTCTAAAAATCCTCTAAGGGAAGTGATATTATTATTCCCGTTTTACAAATCAGGGATTAGATCTGATTGGTCTCAGTATCCGAGAGGTTTGCAAACTTCTTCAGGAGTAAGGGAAAGGACGAACAATTGAAAGCCCTTTGTTTTCAAAGGAGGAGAGAAGACCCAGCCTCATGATCTCCTCGCTCACCAGGCTGTGAGCAATTTGGGGATATGGATAGTATCTGATTACATCTGCATTGTGAGCCAGCTTTACAGTTTTTTGAAGGGATTATAGTGTACATGAATCTGGAAAACCTAAATCCCCTTCTAAATCATATTTGTATTGTGAGTCTACTTGATGGTAATATTGCTATCAGACAAAAAAAAAAAAAAAAAAAAAAAGACGGGAAAGGCCAGATTTTTGTTGACACATATATTTTTGGCTTTTTTATCCCAAAGTGTAAGAGATTTTCCCCCCTGACAGTAATAGGGAATCCTGAATATACGTTCTTTTTTTCCAAAGGCACGTTCACGTGTGAGGGCCTGTCCAAGTTGCCTCTTAAACCATTTCTGCCTGTGTAGATGCAGAGAAAAAAGTTCTGGTTCGTTTTCTTGGAACTGTGTGCTTTGTAGGGCACAGAGGATGTTAGTAGTGTCCATGTTCTTTTGACATAAGGTCAGATTTTGTCTCCTCAGCCCTATCATTGGTCTGGAGAGTTCCACTTACTTTTGTCTGGAACCTGGGTAAACAATTTCTCTGTAATCCCAAGCCTCTGATTTCTTTTTTGAAAGTCAGTGTGGCTCTATATTTCATGTCCCTATTTATGGAGCAGTTGACAACCTAGCACAGAGCCTGATAAATATTCATTTATTTGATCACTGAGAAAACCCCAAGTTAGGGATATTTTTATTCCTATTTCACAGATGGGGAGGGGAGGGAAGCAACCAGAAGGTCAGAGTGCTCAAGCCCACCTAGCAAGCAACAGAGCCTCAAGTTTACCTCTAAACTATTTCATTTTTATGTTGAGCGTTTTCCTTACTGGATGGTCTTTGTACCCTTCCATTGTATCTTAATTCCTGTCCCTTCTTCACAGAATTCTAAGGCATTCTCATGCCAATGGATTCCCCCCCATTAAAGACCTCAGCCTTTCCTTATTTCCTCTCGCTTCTCTGATACTTCCTCTCTCTCTTCCTCCAATCCCGGGACAGTGGACTCTTGTTTTATATTCACTACACTTCCTTTAGCTTTTCGCTTACTCTGAACCGAGATTTCTTCTTATCCATGTCGGGCCACAAATCAGTTATTTATTCCCTAGTGCTATTATTTGGACCAAATAATATATTTTTTAAAAAATAATGTGATATCGTGACTGAGGTTACAATTTTTTGTTGTTGTTGCTAATGTTAGCAATGGGTTAACAATTTAGAAATGAAAATTAAATTGATTTTTGACAACCACAAATATATTTATCTTTGCCAGTAGTTTCTCCAGCCAGCCTCGTGGGGGCTACTTTGTTGTTCTATCAGTCTTTCCTAAAAAGAGAAAGAGAATTTGGATACTACCTGTGAGGGTTCTATTTTTATTGTTACTTCAGGACCTTTCTTTAAGATTATCTCACTTGTAGCAAACATCATTAATCCATTGAATCAGTTTTTGATTTTTAGGTATAAGTGCTGAGGTACAAGTCAGTTAGGACAAAGACCTTGTCCTTTCTGGAATCTGCAGACTCCCTTTTTCTGTTAAGTTCAAAGCCTTTGATAAAATTTAAAAATATGACCTAGAAGGGAGGGTGTTGTAAAGGGCGATTTCTTGAAGAATAATTTATACCCTACGTGAGTCCTTTGTGTATTATTTGGCCGTTGAAATCCAAAATAGGAAATAGAGGCTCCTGGGTGGCTCAGTCGGTTAAGTAGTCAAGCATCTGACTCTTGATCTCTGCTCTGGTCACGATCTCACGGCTAGTGAGTTCAAGTCTTGCTTGGGAGAGTCTGTCTGTCTGTCTGTCTGTCTCTCACTCTCGCTCTCTCTCCACCCCCCCACCCTCTCTCCCTCCCTCTCTCCCTTTCTTTCTCCTCAAAAATAAAAATAAAAAAAAACTTAAAATAGGAAATAGGAAACAGTTGCTAACAAAGTATATTATCTTATTCTAGTATCTCCTTTTTAAAAGTATAAAGTGGTAACCTATGATCTGCACAGGATATTGGCTCTTGGTCTCTATCCATTGAATTTTAAAATTTAGCAGCTAAGTTATGTGGCAGGTTTCTAGGTCTTTGAAACTGGAAATGATCGATGCTTAATATGGGAACAGTATTCAGTCCAGAAGGGGGCGCAGCCGCTGCTTTATCTCTGGCTTCCTCTGACTTCTGGAGGAAAGGAGCCCCCTTGGGTGGGGAGCTGGGGGAGCTCTCAGTGTTAGCACACCCACCTCCCCTTGCACTTGAGAGTTTTCCTGTCCTTCCCCAGCCTAAGGGAAGCCTACGCGTGTCTTTAGGCCCCACCCTTGTGGCAGCTCACTGGGTCTCTACTCCCTCCTGTCCCCTTCATGGGCTTCATCTAGGCTTCCCTGCATGAGCTGGGAAAGGGCTCTGGACTGATGAGAATGCCTGTCCTCGGGAAAGCCTCCTGTGACCTTCCCCCTAGACTCACCCCTTCCCCTTGTCCTTATTATCTCTCATAGAACCGCCCCCCCCCCTTTTTTTCCTTCACGCTTGGCACAAAGGAATATTTCATACCTACTTGTGATCTTGTTTAATCCCTGCCTCCTCCATTAACGGGCAGCCACATGAGTCCATCTCGCTCGTCACTGTTGGAACCAGAACGTTGCATACGCTCGGTAAGTCAAGATGGCTTCCCACATTCCACACATCAACAGATGGCCCCTTTTGGTGGTGCTGGGTTTGTATTTTAAACTCGAAAATGTTCTTCTTTGGTCAGACTCCAATGGTTTCCATCAGGCCAAACCCCAGAAAGAATAGGTTTCTTTCTTTCTTTCTTTTTTTTTTTTTTTTTTTTTTTTTT